AATTCTAACAAAAATAGTCTGTTGACATTATTTAAAACAGCAAAAGTCATTCATAAAATTTATTTTCTTTCAATCATCACGAAAATATTTCCACAAGTCTATTTCGAATGTTAAGTTAGGTCAGGAACAAGTTTCTAAGGTGCTTCGTTCAAACAAGCATGTAAGCACACACAACATTGAATGGAAAAATTTTCACATTTTGCATAAGTAATGAGCTATTCAAATACGTAGACCTTTTATGAAATGAGCAAATATTCTCGCATAGAATTCTTGATTTAGAAATTAAAATCTTTTATTTCTGTTTCTCATTCAGACTTAGAATGAAGCTTTTTATGTGAGCATGAAAGATTTCAATTGAAAGTTGCATAATTAAAATGTTTCTGTGAATATTTACGAACTTGTCAGTGGATATAAAGAGAAATATTATCATATTTGGGAATATTTAACATCTGAAAAAAAAACAAGTGACAATAAATTACTTTATTCCTGTATCTTATTTAATCTTGTTCTTAATATTGTAAATATCCGAAATGCAATGTCAAACAAATCGTTTTTTATAGCGCCATAAATTTTAATTTTGATTGTAAAACGTGAAATACTTGTCAAAAATGAAGAGGTTTACTGCTGTATGGTTTGAGTTGTGACTTTAAAGTATATTGAGATGCAGGGATAGAGCTTGAATTGAATTCTCTAAATTTTTATCAACAAATCGATGAAATTTGAAAACAAGCTTAATATTCAGGTCCCATTGAAGACGTGAACAAAAGGCAAACCGCTACCAGCAGCACGTGTATTATCCAATTCAAACTGCATTTCAAAAAGACCTTGTGCCTCGATCTTTTGCCCCAAATTTTTAAAATCTGCATGCATTCATAAATAGTATCTCATGGATGCAGCTATAAAATTGTCATAAACTTTGAATCAACCGAGGCTATAGCATTTTTAATCTTAGATATGCAATCTTTCTTCTAGGATGAATAAATTTAAAAAACCTGAAAACAATGAAAATGGAAAGATTTAAAAATATTTTAGCAGGTTAGAAAACATCAAGTATAACTGCAAGACCAAAGATAATGTCAGTGCTAAAAATGTAGTCATCAAAAAACTGTTCGAATATTAAAAAATTTGCAAATGGATCCTTTTATTGGAGATTAATACTTTTTAAATTCACGTGCAGCTGTCTTCATAATTTAAAATCATTAAGTTTGGCGTGTCATTGCTAATTACATATATTGAGAAGATTAAGCTGTGGTTATATAAAGGAGGGAAAGTTTAATTGATGTGATTTTGTAATCCTGTCATAAAAGGTTGTTGATTCCGTGTCAATAGCCTTGGAATATTATCCTTTAATTTTTGTGCTAGTTTCTATAATAATTGTTCATAGACATTCAAAAATCAAGTATCCAGAATAAATGTTCAGTAGCAATACCAAGCACCCATAAAAATTCATATAAAATCAAGAATCAGCTAGTTCTGAAACGTAGAAAAAAGCTCACAGCTCAGCTTACCTTTGATAATTTATTATCGAAATGCCATAGCTATAAATGCAAACACAGTTCCTCTGATCTAATTCGAATATCAAATCGAGCAAGAGATTATTGCAAAATTATTCAAATTAAGTCTCAGTGTTGATTTTAATGGAATTTTAATAGCAATTCCAGATCAATGATTTGTTCCACAAGACTCACAGCAAACTGCTTCGATTTCGTATTTACTTAAACACCATAATCGCCCAAAAGCACCGCCATACTTTACCAATTCGTGTGATTTTTTTTTAAGTTGCATTGAAACACAAAGCAAGAAAATGTTAATTGGCTCACAGATAACCGCAAATTATACGTAATCATCAATTCTACTTCTGTCTGCTGTTGCCTTGCAATTTAAAAACGCAACATTTTTTCCATTCCTTCGTTTTCTAATTCAAATTCATGTCATTCGCCTATAAAAAGCGATCCAAAGGCTTAACATTTCATCGAAAACGAGGGAGAAGTAGGGGTGGAGCTAGGAGAGAGACGAGGATCTCTAATGCCATCTGAGGGTATCTGAAAAACAAAAGCAAATATTTCTATGTCTGCATACATCCCTGACTCTCAAGAAGTGGAAGAATAAACAAAAGTCACGTTTTGGAAATTCACTTGAAAATTGCAAATGAAGGCTCAATCGCTCCACATATTTTACATCAATTGGTCTTCATCTTCTTCGTCCATATTTTATGCAACTAATGATAGTTTTTAAGTCAATCAAATTGTAGCATACTTTTGATTAATTGCTGTAATATAAAATGATTTAATTTTAAGTAAAAAACGACTAGTGAAATTTCTTTTTCAATTAACTTTTTTTCCTCTATTATAGTGACTTTTTTTTTATTTCACATACAATATTTTACAACTTAAAAGCAATAAAAAAATTGTTCGAAATTATTATGGAATATTAAATAAATTATGAGACTTTTTTTTTTTGTTGCTTATTTAACAATTTAATTGATCTTGGCTCGCAATCTTGCGTAAAGGCACTTGCTATGGTGATATTTTTTCTCTTTAGAATGAAAATTTATTTTTATTCACTTCCGAATGAATCAGACGCGTCAGTGCCTTTGGAGCAATGTTTTATAATTTATTGATTGGCTGCTGAGAAGATTGTCTGGGATGAATATATCTATTGAGGACATAAATGATTAATTTTTGAGATGGAATTTATGTTTAAGGAGGTCTGTTGTGTTGCTTTGTGCTTTAGTGAGCTAGAGCTTTGCTAATAGGGTCCATTGGAGTCTTTCCTATCATCTTTTAAATCATTTGAACTCGCTTAGTTTTTGAAATTTCTCTAAGAGTCAACAACCTTAGTTTCAGCATCTAGGAAGATCAAGTCTGTTTTCTGGCGTCTTCATAACGATTGGGAGACTTCTTGTGAGAATTGAACCTAATTCCTCACAAATATGAATACATAAAACTCCTGATTTGTTGAATTATCACTCAAACTAGCATGTTTGCCTAGACAAGTCCTCTAGTCAACTCATTTATGCTCTCAGACATTGACCCCAAACCATCTCCTCATCAGCTTCATCAAACTTAATTTGTTTTCTATCTAATTATACACAAATAAATTTACAGGTTCATACGTATGAATATATAATACAATACAGTAGTCAGTCAGTTAAATGAGAAAGCAATAAAATACAATTTTTTTTGGCTTTTTTGAGAAAACTAATGAATCTTTAAAATTTATCGATTTACGATTCGATTAACACATGCAAATCTCTCATTGATGTTGTCAGATTCACGTCAGATATTTTCATAAAATTGAGATAAATTTTTTGGGGGATTTGAGGAAGTTGAAAATAAATTGAAATTTCATTTGGATATTTTGGTACAGAGGCTTTCAGGTAGTTTAAAGATGCTTATGAATAATTCAAGGATTTTTGTCATTATTGGATTAATATAAAGGAGGATTATTTTAATTTAATTGGATGTATAAATTGCATCCAAGCAAATATCTCACATCTGGAATCTGACAAAAGTGCATCGATGAGAACCTTAAAAAAATCAAAAACAATTTCCAAAGATAAAAATGGCATTGAATTTAGATAAACGCGAGAGAATCTTGTCTATTGTGATGCCAATAATATTGCTCATTCATCATATTCTACATGATGTCGGAAAAAAGCATCACCAATAATAATTTGTTGAATGTACATGAATTTAATTTCAAGGTTTTTTAATTAACAATAATGAGATGATTATTAATACACAAATAAAATGGATATAAATGATGATGATGAATTCTAATGATAATAAATTTTTCCCCATAACATTCGTTTAATTCTTTTTTGTTCCCTGATTGACGATGAAAAAGCATGAATGTTCAATGAAAATGATATGCAAAAATTGATGCTTTTTACATGGCTGAATATTGGAAGGTCATTCATAAATGACGTCAATCTAGAATAAGATTTTCTGACTTTCTCTGTTGAGAATATATTAACGGTCATTTCATATTCAAATTATGTATGCAGCTATAATTGGTTTATTTCTCCTTGTATAATTGTTACCCCCTTTCATACAAATATTTCGTCTGTTTCTAATGATCGAACAATAAACATCTTGTTATTAATTACAAATCTGTGAGGAGTCTTTAATTCACATTATTAAAAAAAGAACATTCTGATTAGGGGCTGTTCACTTATTACGTAACGCGAAAAAATTACTTCTTGGACCCCCCCCCCTCGTAACAAAATTTGTATGAAAAAAAAATTTCCTTGTTTGAATCGTAACAAAATCTTAGACCCCCCCATCCTTCTAAAAGCGTTACGCAATAAGTGAATGGCCCCTTATCAAATCAACACTCTCAGAATGGGATTCTCTTTCACATTATGTATTGTAATTTATAGCTACAAACCAATCCCCACGTCACTTATGAACAACCCCTAATGCTTTTAACTGATTTACAGATTCATTATCAATAATATCGTTTTGATTCGTTTTTGATGAATATCAATTATCGCTTTTAAATTAAATATTTAATGACAGCTTAATTTAATTACATTATTAAATGTGTAGCAACTGAAATTTTATATCTTTTTGGATTTTTTAGTCACGAACAGGAGCCAGTTAATTTTTCTATAATATTTTGGGATGTGTTTCTCAATTTATTTGACTGCAATATAGTCATCTAGCGATCCATCTTTTTAAAAGTTGGAAACTTTTTTATAATTAAGGGATTTCAGGTTTATTATTAAATCTTACATCATTTTTTGGGTGTATATTGGGAAGATCTATTAGCAAATGTCCTTTATTATTGATATATTGTTTTAAAATGTTGGCTATTGATACTCTCCTTGCTAATGTATAGTCTATTTTAATATGAATTCAAGTATAATTCGAACCCACAATTCAATATCTTATTGGAGTTGTTCCTTCATACGACTACTTGCCAAAAACTATAAGCATCTCAATTTAGAAGCATATCTAGGCCTTGGATACACTTAAGTTTCCCTATTTCAAGCTACACCACTTCATGCTATGCTTAATAATTCCATAAACCCCTTATTTACTTAATATCCGGAATTTATAATCACAAATATCTGAACTTACACTTTAGAAAATAAAATTAACTTTAACTGACCAAATATCAGGCGTCACAACTGATTTGATCAACAAATGACAATTTTATTCACAAAAGATTAATAATCCTAATGAACGCAATTTATCAACTAAGCTCTCGTATTGACACATTTTTGGATGATATTTGGGTTCAAAAATCCCAAAAATTATTTTTTTCACGTACTTTTCATTAGTTTCGCATTGGAACTAATTTATTTTAATATAAAACTTTTTTTTTCTCTATTAAGTAATTTTATCACACTTAATACCCAACGACTGTTCCTATTTATCCCATTCCATTTTATATTTATCACAATTTTTTATTTATCTTCACTTCGAATTTAGTAACTTAATTGAATAGAATGACACTCGACGCAATATTTTTCTTTATTCACGTCCAATTTCAGTATACCTCATTTTCTCGATATGAAGTCTTTTGTTGATTTTTAAAAAAGCCTAAAGTCTCTAAAGTCTTTGTTGCTCTCACTATAAGCTGGTCTTTAAACTTCCATATCGTTGAGTCTTTCACTTTATTCTCTTTGAAATCTTCACATGATTTCTTTAATGTCTTTACACAATCGGCACGATAATGCTGAAGTTGAGCATCATCAGTGTCAATCGAAAATGATTTGCACGGTCCTCCAAGGCAGGCGAGTGGGAAGTGATTGTGAAGCGTCAATACTCGTTCGGGATTATGGAAACACTTGATATATTGATTGGGTTTTGTAAAATTCGCTGCACGATTGATATGTTGCAGCATGTGCATATACTTAGGCATACCTGGTATCCACTCATGATTATGCTGTGTCTCGTCAAAGAAATACACGTTTCGGACATTGTAGGATGGATAAGTTGTATTACGTAACTTTTTGCCTTTTTCAAGAACCCTCACCATCAAGTCATGCCAACTCATATCATCATGTTTTGGCATTATTACCTCGTCAATATCCAATAGTGCTATAAATTCGTATTTATACATATTCTTATACAAACAGTCGTTATATGGAATCAATTCATTTTGCCTTTTCTGACTCGTCTTTTTCGTCAAATATAAATGTTGTAGGCCGGGTATATTAGGTTGACCTCCAGGCAATGTTAATGGCGTCACATGTACTTTACCCTCCTTCTCATAATGCTTTAATACTTTCGATATATTCGGATGAACTTGCAATTCATAGAAATAAATCTTGTCGGCACCAAGAAGCGTGATTAGTTCAATCCATTCAATTAACTTGACTGATAAATCATCGTAAAGAAAATCTAAGCCCTTGACACAAACTGCAAAGCCTTTTTTACGATCATCGGCTGGCAAATTGTAAATAACTCTTAAATTATTTGTCGCTGTATCGCATTGTTTCTCAACGATTGACACTGAAGTCGGAACAAGTGCATGAAAAGGTTTTGGTATTTGACATGCGATAAGGTATGGTTGATAGACATTGTTAAAGTAATTGCCCCATCGCGAGAACCTATTGAATCAAAATAAAATGCCAATTAATGCACAATTTGGAACACAATCGAGTCTTTTGTTCAATTTTATTAATTTAATTACTCACCAAATGTATTTATATTCAAATGTTTTGACTATAGTTGGATCTTTTTGTCCGTCAAACCAAAATTGACAGTATGTTTTCACACTTGGATTAATTCGATCAATCATACCGAGAATCCTGACGGCAGGTCCTATTTTGGAATTTTTCCTAATATCATAATAAGCACCGAATAATTGGAAGGTGCCATTTGTTGTCTGAAGTGTCTGCCAGTATGTATTACTGAACTGTAGATCGAAGATTGATGGATATTTGGCGCATTGTTTAGTATTTTTACTATTTGCTTGCGCTTGAATGGCTTTATGTTTCGTCCAATATGCTATTGGAAGTGATGGTAATTTTTCTTCTACATCTTTCACTAGCTGCTCATCATCAATACCTGTTTTGTGTTTAAATAAGCATCGGGAGTAGTAAAAGAAAAAGAAAAGAATTTTTATTGGAAATTGAAAATGTGAAATGTTCGTGAATGACGTCTAGAAGATAGGTGGGAGTATATGTTATATCATTTGACATCAGTTTGGCTATGGATGTATCCGGCTTTTTAAAAAGCCGAAAGAGAGACCAAAACTTCAAGCAGACGTCATTTATGAACAACCCATAAAAAATTGTACAGCTATATAAACATCCTCATACCAGTTCTATTATCGACCAGAACTTCATTATCAATATAAGTCATCAGTCTTTCAGAAGCAGATGTTGTAGATGTTTGATCCATCAGTTGATTCCATTTCTCTTTTTGCAGTAAATTCCTATGCAGTGGAATTTTCTTTAAATATGTCTGTGATGTTATTGAGACGCCTGATAAGTCTATGTTGTCATTGTTTATTTTTATTACGCCTATCAACAGAAATGACCAAACTGCCAATATAAACAGGAACTTGAAAAAATTTCGCTGCACGTTATTCATATTGTCGAATTTATATAAGGTAGTTTGGTGGTAAATGCCGTTTTGTGAATGATGCGTGGGATCAACTTTTTAGCAGAGACTGATGCACTGTAAGAAGAAGAAATAATCATCGTTAATTTTTATTTTTTTTTTGCCTTGACTGTTAATGAAATTCGAAAATATACATTTTTGGATATGATACGAGAGACTTAATAATTTCTCTTTTTTCGCATGCACATTTCAATTCAAAAGATAAGCTGTTGTTTACAAATTAACACGATTTTTGGTGGTCAATGTTTGAAGGTCGGTTTTTTGTTGATTCAAATCAGTCACAACTTAATAATTCATGCCTTTCAAAATTCACATTAATTAGACAGGAGATTTCAATTATGAACAAAAGATCACAGTTTGCGATAAGCCTTAAAATTCAATTTTCACGAAAAATTTATTTTAGATGCTTTATGTATCGATAATGAGATAACAATTAAGCAACATCACAACTTGCTTTGCCTTATTATATATCGATCTCACGGAATCACGCTAATGCTTTTTAGTTTTTTTTTTGTTAAAAATGATTTTTTTCCCGTCATAAAATTTGTAAGTTGACTGCAAGGTGTGCCGACTTTCATTGAACTGAGAATTTTTTGATAAATATCAAATGAATTATATTGCATCATATGAAGTTTTTATCTATGACTTAATGAACAATTGCAGCTGTAAAATTAGAGTTTCGTTATCTTATCGATACAAATTTCCAAGTCAAATTGACGAAATTAAGTTGTTAAGCTTAATTTGAGCCTTGCAGTTCTTATCGAAATTGTGATTAAAATGAAACTTAATATTTGGACTGAAAGTCAATCTGTCAGAGGTGTCATTTGTACTGCATACATTTCAACATGGATTCAACAAGATCAATAAACTTAGTCCAGTGATATTGCACTTAAAAGTCAAAATGAAGAATTCACAAGCTTAAACCCATTGGATTGGTAAAGGATGTTCAAAACTTAAATAAAAAATCTGCTTAACTTGCGAAAGATCAATAAGAAATGCAATTTTTTTAAAAAATAAGAGGCACCAGCCCATAAAAGAAACATGAATACCTCAAATTTGCATCAAAGTACTTGATTGACGCTAGCTCCATAAAATCATAAAAAAAAACTCTCATCCCCAAAAATTCTTTAATAAACATTTATTCATTCCAAAAAGTCGGCATGCCTTGCTCCAATCTAATAAAACAAGATATATATTTTAAAATGATATTTTCTTATGATAAAATTTGTATTTCGTAAATTCTCAAGCCAAATATAATTTTGAGATTGCAACAATCAAGCGACAGCGTGGTAATAGAGAGCACAAGAGCAGAAAAAGGCCACAATTCAAACGTCAAAACGTGATTCGCATTCTTGCACTCATTTTGAGAGGTATTCACTACATCTTGACATTATTATTTTGTATTTACTTTCGCTGAGTATTCTTCAACGACTCTTTTTGGAGGCGGAAAATGTTGCTGATCTCTTCATAGTAACTCCAAAAACTAGATCAGCCATGAGACCATTTTTGGGATATTTGAGTGAATATTAAATGGATTAATAACTACCAAGAACAGAGACCTTGAGCTTATTATAATAATAATAATGGCAGAAATCGTGTGTGTATTTGGTGATTCAATAAATAAAAAGACTCTGTTCGAAATGATAATTATCTTCGGCATTAAAAACTAAGGTTTGTCAGCGGCAAACAAAGAGATCATGAAGAGATGACGAAATTATAAAGAAATACTACAATCAGCGGGATATAAAAAAAAACGCTACAGAAAACCTTAAATTTCCTCAATGCAATTCGCGTGGTGTGAGTCATTGAGTAATACACGAGTATGTACAGCCGTACATAAATTTGATTTGTCAGCAAAAAAAAATTATTCATATTGACTATTTAACGTACTATTCATTTCATGCATATGTAAATGTAAAAGAATTCTTATTTTTTATTGTTATGCAAGTCACCTACACACGATTCAATCACAATTGCACAATCGGATGCACTTCCCTTACTGTATAAATCCACGTATTTTGCATACATTTTTCCTGAATTGGTTGAGTGAAATTCTTGGGGGTCGATTAACATATGACGTCATTAGCTTGAAGTAAGGTTGCATCTGAGAAAGCACTAAATGTTATTATCTACAAGGATGGGCTCTAATTTTGAAGATAATGAAGATATTGAGGCCATTGAAGCTGACCATGACCAAGCATCAATTGATAGAACTAGTTTTATTTGGTTCGAGACATCTTTAGTGGCCAAGTTATATTCTGAAATAAGGACTTTTCCAATAGTTCCCAACATTTTTTATACCATGGCTTTTCGTAATGACCAAAATTTAAGATTGTATTAGATCTAAGAGGCATGAATGGTATAATGATGCACTGCAGAACATATGTTTACCAAGACTGCAGTTTAAGAACAGTTTAAATTGCATTCCTACTCCACCTAGCTCATAGATAATGGTCAAGGCTATCAAAATTCCATGTCATGTCTGACGTCATTTATAAATTAGCCCCTCAAGCTATGTGTATACTTAATCATATGAGAAAGGTCTACAAATCATTAAATCAAACGAGAAGAAGAGGTAAAAAAAATAGAGAAGATTAACAACAGTTATAATCCAATGAAGCGATATATCATAACTTTATTTTTTTTTTATTGCACTTCTCATGTATGATGAGGAATAATAAAATACCGTAGCGTAGCATAGTAAAGGTGAGAAATTCATGCCATTTCATTCAAGACTTGAATTGATATTGGCGGTCAACACACCACATGAACTTGAGGAAGGAAAAAAAATCTTTATGAAAAATAAAAAGAGTCTAAACAGCGTGATGACAAGTAACTCGTATGCTTTTAGATCATTGCATGAATGAATCTGTAACTGTAAATGTTTATTGACTTTTAATAGTTTTTTATTGAACAATAAAAATTGTAGTTTATAGCATAAGACATGCCTAAAATTGTATATGTGTCGATTCAAATTTGTTTATTGCATTGTCATGCACCTTCAAATTGACAATTTCGGGTTATAATCCAAACGACCGTTAATATTTTTTATTATTTTTTCGTAAAACAAAAGAAGATATTCGAATTTCTAACAGTGTTGTGGCACTAATAGCTTGAGGTGTTGTAAAATTAAGCGAAGATCGTGAGAAAATTTGGGTTTAAGTTGGAAGTCAAGGGCAATTTTGAGTAGACTCTGGCATTGTGAACTTTGAAGAGCCTTACAGCTTAGGATCAGTCTAATCGCATTCTTGTAGAGCGCAAAGATCTATGTGACTGATAATGGAAGCATATCTGTATGGTATAAGAACCATAGTTCACCAAAAAACATCCTAATCATCCAATCCAGACCTTCAACAACCCAACACTGCATTCAAGAATAATTTATTCTCCCCCATATCATTTACTTCATTTTTATTGATTCTTAAATTCCATCTTCACACCTTCGTGTACAATCTTTTTGAATATTGACATCTGCAATCAATTGGAAGCAGTTGCACGATTATTTTGTGAGATTAACTTGCATTTCCAATAAGTAATGAAAATATTTTTACCACACGCTTTGCATACATGCCATTGCTTAAAAAAGACAGAATTTCAATGGACATTTTTGTAGCTATATATGTCGGATTGAATGAGTCTATATGAAAAGAATTAATAAAGTATTTTTCAATCGATCACAATCGTTAAGGCTGAAATACAATTGAGAGTGTTTAAATAATAAAAAATTGAATTAATATCTTTATAGAATTGAATCGTTCTTATTGAGCACGAACGTATTGTATTGTATAAATTGGCACTAATCAAAAATTCATAATTCATAGGCACTAAAGTTCTGAATATATAAATTCAAAATTAATTGCTTGTCTTGCACTATTTGTGAATAATAATAAAGTGTCAAGGAACGTTGTCGGCTTCGAAATCATTTTTGATGATAAAATTAATTAATTTACTGACGACTGCTTATCTTGCCAGCAAATAAGATGTCACAAAAAAGTGAAATAATTTCATTGTCAAGTGAAAGTGAATCCCCTTGTCTACTACAGCCATAAAAATATTTAAATATGTTTCCAAACTTATACTGTATAAATATGGTAAACATCATACACAAAAAAAAAGACAGAGGCTCTCAGAGAGTCAACCAGCGTAAAAATATAAATCAAAAGGTAAACAAAAATTCGCGCGATCAGTTTCGCTTTTGATTGCGTACCGAAATATAAATGATGAATTAAAAGCGATGAAGATGAAACAGAAGAGAAGTAGCAGTTGAAATTGGATTTTTGGATGTGCATTTATTAATGACGTTATGTCCTTATTTGAGAGGAAATAGGATATGAAGATTTTCACTGAGATTTCTTTGAGTAAGATAGAAGAGATAGAGTGTCTTTGGTCCAGCAAAATACAATGGGATTCAAACTGTTCAACTTGATTATTCTTGACTTGTCTTTAGCCCTAAATTGGAAGTTCTAATGTTCCATTACTGCTTCAAAAATTCGAATAATGAGTCATTAATCTGCCAAGTCTATTTTTGTAGTTTCCAGGCGCAGAACTAAGAATAAAGATAGAAATAAGAAGTCTATAGATGCATAAAACTCATTTTGACAGAATCCACAACTAGACCACCCTCGAACTGTATAAATCCATTGCAATTTCCATTATTGAATCAATAGACTAATTTTAAATAGCTTTTAAAATCTCTTGCCAACTTCATCGCCTATTACCCATAGAAATTTGCATAATTAAGCCTTGTATATACTAAAAAAAATTTCGGCAATTTCATAAACTGATCCTATTGAAATGCAATTAAAGCGACAGTAGCTTGTTGCTAAATCTTCATTTATCAAACAGCACGTTGCAAAATACAAAATTTTCATCATTAAAGTCAAACTGAATGAAATATCGCACGTGCTTTCTCAAGGAAACTGGTTGTTAAATAAAAAATTTTGTTTTAATAGTTTTCTGAGTTGACTCATTTCGATGTTGCATGCGATAATCTTTACTTTTATGATAATTTAACAATTAAATATTTACAATCATTTTGCATTTTCCATTTTTTGTGTTTGTGCCTCTTTTATGTAACTAATAACTCAATTCAGTCTCTTTTTTGTTGTATTTTCATGACAATCAAAATCAAAGCATTTTCTGTTTTGCATTTCCACTTCCGTTTGATTCCGCAACTTTACATAATCATTAACATTCTGTCTTGTATTATTATAAGTTTGTTTATACACATGTTATGAGATGTACAGATGACAAGCATGTATAATAATTTTTAAAAGAAGAATCTCTCAGCATTGTATGGAATCATATGTATAATTTATTGGGTACATATGTTTAAAATCTCGAGATGGTAACCATGTAATTGGGCACATTTATAAGTTATGACCAAATTTTGAATTTTTTTTTAGATCTACTTCCAAACTTAGTCGTTGAATTATCGTTTAAAAATTACTT